CCCGCGGGCCCATCACAGCGTAGCGCAGCGCCGCAAGGCGTCACGAATAGCGAACGGGCGCAGGCGGCGCCCAGCTCCAAGGCACGCCAGGCGCAGCCCGTGCACCGGCAGTTGCAGTCTGCTGTCCGGGCGCATGCGCTCGGCGCGGCGGGCCGGGCCCGCCGTCGCGCCGCCGCGGCGGGCGGCGCGCGTGCAACCTAACCCTGCGTGTTCAGGCGGCGCGGGCCTCACCCCGATGGCGGTCTTCTTATAGCAGTCCGATGCCGCCAGCGGCGCGGGCGCCGGCGCCGTCGCGGGCGCTGCCGGGTCCTCGGGCCCGCCCGCCATGACGGGGCGTTGGGGCTCAGGGGACGGGTCAGGGGCACGGCTCGGGCAGCCTGCGGCGTGCAGCGAGGGTGCGGGCGCGAGTGCGATGTTTGCGAGGGTGCGGCAGCCCAGTGTGACGGTGACACCGCAGCGGGCGGGCGCTGCGTGCGCAGCGCGCTCTGCAAGGGTCCGGTGGTGCTGCACAGCTGGCACACAATCAACATCGAGGCGGTCTTGGGCTTGGGCGGTGCGTCCAAGCGTCGCGAAGGTCGCCGATACGTTCAGATCAAGCACAGAGGGATGCTGCTGCCTGGCCAAAGCTATCAGCCTACCTGCCTGTGTGATACGCTGCGAGTTTCAGGCCGCAGCTAGGCTCCGAGATCCAGCGCGGACTGCAGTGAGCACTCCCAAGCTACCCCTGAGTCCTCAATTGAGCTGATTGCTGTGGAAAGCATTAAACATCACTTTGTGTCCCGAGCGGCCTGAACAAGGCCCGATCCCAGGGCCCGTCCAGGGCAGACACGCGTCGGATATTGCTGGTGACATCAAGTGATGCGCCTGCGGTGACGGAGTGCGCACCCAAGGTCGGCGTGAAACAATACATCATGTACGCAACTGGAGATTCCTCGAGTATGTGCTTTGCGCCGACCAGCTGCCATGTGTTGCAGGCCGCCTCGCAAGGTTTGACCATGGTCAACAGCGAATCTGCAGGCGCTGCAACAGTTCACGCAAGCGTCCAAATTTACTGACATGGTAAACTAGCCGTGAGTACACTCGTGCGGCACATGGGCTCAAGTACCTTGGCACTCACTTACTGCGTTGCGCCTACCCGCTGCATCGCAACTTGCAGCGGGTGGTTGAATCACCCGCGCACGTGCTATCACGCCCATTCCGCCGCCGACGTATCGAGCAATACTGATGCAAGCTGCTGGCACTGCAGTGCTGAGTAAACCAGCGCAATCTGCTGCTCGTCCCCCGCCTCGGCAGCTGAATGAGCAACAATCAATAACCCTAAGCAATTGCATGGTCCAACTATCACTTTTTAATAATAGGGCTAGCTTGTCCACCAGCTTTTGCCAAACTGCACAGAAATCCCATCACACGCCGCCGCAGCACTCCTGCACGACGTGCGGCGGCCCCGCCCTCGCGGCCCCGCCGCACACGTGCACGGGCACGCCCGCCAGCGCCGCCCGCGCGCGCGCCGCGGCGACCGCCGCGGCGTCCGAGGACAGCAACACCTCTGGCTCGAGGTACCACACCTCGTCGAGGCCGTCGAGCGCCGGCAGGATCATCGGGGGCACCGCGAACAGTCCGAGGTTGTTCGTCGAGGTCGTCGCCGCCTCGACGGCGTCGAGGCAGCGGAACAGCTCCTCCTGCAGTGCATCGTCCACGAGCTTCCCGTCCGGCCCGACAGCGAGCCCCTTGAACGCCTGGAACGAGCGGTGGGGGGCCAGGATCGCCACCCTGGGGGCGCCGCCGTTGGCCGCCCCGGCGGGCACGGGCGCTGCCGCTACTGCACTCGATGATGAGGCGCCACCACCGCTGCCGCTGCCGCTATTGCCGCTGCTGCCGCCACCGCCGCCGCCGCCGAGCCGCAGGGCGCGGGGGCTGCCCATATGCGCTAGGTACGCGCCGTCACCACCAAGCACGCCCGCCATCGCCGCCTCTGCCGCCGCGTGCCGCCCGCCGGCCGCGGGCCCCACGCCCGCCGGCCCAAGCACCGTCGAGAAGAACGACCCCTCCTCCACGCGCCCCAGCCAGTTCGTGAACCCGACGCCGTGCGCGCCGCTGGACACGGTCAGCTCGACGGCGCGCTTGTGCATCGCGCCGTCCTTGAAGCGCTCGAACGCGCCCTCGAAGAAAACGGGCTTGCCGAACGGCTTCATAGCGGCAAGCAAGAGCTGCACGATCCGCACGTCGTTCAAGTTGTGCGCGGCCGTCAAAAAGTTCGAGTCAACGACGACAAAGTCGACCCACGGGGACGCCGCCAACGAGAAGATCGCACCGCCCGCATAGATCGCGTCGTTGCTTGTCAAGAACTCGCCAAAGTGGAGGATGCAGCGGAAGCCGCGCGCGGCCGCGCGCGCGCACGCGCGCTCGTGCGCGTCGTGCAGCGCGGCGTGGCGCCACGCCTGCCAGTCCCAGTAGCGCGCGCTCCTCGCGCCATCGTCCCTGTGTTTCCCGTGTTGGTACATGGCCGGCGGCTGTACTGCCTCCCAAGACGCGAAGGCCCCGTCCGCCGCCCCATCGGGTGCCCATCGGGCGTTCCAGAAGGCCAGGTCGGGGTTCAGCGCCGCTAGGTGCTTGCGGTACGATGCTAGGGCGCCCGGAGAGTAGTCTTGGAAGCAGTCACGCTCTTGGCTGCGTAGGGGGAGAGGGTGGAGGGGGTTGTATATGCAGGGCAGAGGGGGGCCGCGTGTGCCGCGCTGCCGGGCCAAGGGAGGGGAGTGCGACATGTGTAAAGCGGGGAGACCAGCAATGAGAACCACAATACTGTGTTGGGTGCGAGCAGCAGCCGTGGGCCCACACAGCTGAGCAATTGTTATTGTCTCCCAGGTGAAAAAACGCAATGTAACCTGGGAACAAACATACAGGGTGCGTTAGGGCGGCTACTTGCGGCCCTGCACCCACAGCAGCAACGCCTAGCCCACCCTCACTTTGAATGTTTGATGCGCGGGGCGCAGCTCGCTTACTGCTGCCCCTTGCGGCAAGGCACAAGCACCTCAAATCCGCCCGCAACCACTCGCCACACCAGCGCAGTCGCGCCAAGCGCTCGCTGCCCTTGTACGTTTCAATTGCCCTGCCCCTCAGAATCCGCAACAAAAGGCTCACGTGTACTTGGTCTCGTATTCATTGTTGAACGACGGCTGTATGCTGTGGACGCACCCCGCGTCCACCTCAGCCATCCGCCCCAGCGCCGCCGCCTGCCACGCGCCCGCCAGCGCCATGGCACCCTCGTGGCTGAAGCTCAGGTCGTGCCGCGCCTCCCCGCGCGCGTCGACCAGCGCGGCGTCTGGGAAGCGCGCTATCACCCACGGCGGCGTCGCCTGCGCGTCGAGCACGACCGCGAGCTTGAGGCCGCGCGAGCAGGCGGCGCGCTGCACGAAGTCCTGCAGGCGGAAGTCGTAGGCGGCGGGGGCGGCCTCCTGGTCGCGCCAGCGGAAGGACGTGAAAAGGATGTCGACGCCTTGGCGCTTGGGTTTAGGGGG